AAATTTTCCAAGGGCTAAAAGCAATTTTGCCTTTTGCAAAGTATTCACCAGCCTCCGTTAAATATTTTCTCTTTTTAATTGCAAATGTCAGCCCAGAATGGCTCTGTTTTTACTGCACTTGGGAGCGCATTAGTTTCTGCCCTCCAGGGGAAGAAATGAATTTTTCCCCTCCAATCTAATGAAATAGAGAACATTTAAATCATTTCTTTCACAAACACATTTTTCAGTCCCGCCTATGAATGAAAACAGATTTATTCTTTGTGCTGGATTTGTAGGTTTGTTTTTTTTTTTTTTTTTCATTCTACAATTTGGAGCCTATATTTTTTTTTAAGCAAAAACGAAGTGATTTCTCAATGCAATTGTGAAATTCCAGTTTTCACAGTGCATTACTGACTAATCTCTCTACATTTATCCACAAGGGGGGAATATAGAACCGACTGAGGACATTAACAGTGATATTTATTCAACTTATTTCTGACTGATTGATATAATTGCAGCTCTCCAAGGCCTATTGTGATCGCAGGGCTGGAGATATACTTTTATTTCAGTTTAGTATTTTGGAGCAATGCCTTCTGAGGAAGAAAGAAACTAATAATTTCTTGTCAGCAGCAAGCTGCAATTATATGTATTTATATTTAACCTTTCCAGATACCACTCATTAACATTTCCTTGGCACAGGCACAGTTTACATTTTGATATACTCCTTTGGTGGAAAGGTTATAATGACTCTGGGAATCTTTGACTTGCTAATGTTCCCTCTCTTCAAAGTGCTGGGGCCACATCAAAATACAAACCTGGGAGAACGAGGCTTGAACTGTGGATTTTACTTTAATTTAATGAGATTGTTGAGCAGAATGGTCGTAGTAATACTAATTTAGCACAATGAAGTCAACAAAAGCCATTCACAGTTTAAGCCTTGATGTCATGGCACTGTCACAACTCCTTGGTGCTTGGAATAACTCCAGTTGAAGGGACCTCTGGAGAACATCAGGCCAAACCTTCTGCTCAGGCCAGAATTGGCATCCAAGTGAGATTTAACTTCAAAATTGGACTTCAAAGTTGGACCAGGCTGCTCAGGGCCTTGGTCACGCAAGTTTTGAACCAGGGACAGGAGAAGACCCCACTGGACCCCATTTCTCTTCCATCCTGTGCTCTGGAGGGACATCACCTTTTCTTTTTGCTCCCCAGGGATGGGAAGGTGCAGCTGGAAATACTGGCCTGGGCTGAATCCTCCACCTTTCCCACCTTCTCCAGAGGCATCCGCCGAAAATGAAATTGCCACACAAAATTTGAGGTGGCAATAAAAAAATCGATCTCCTGTCACGGCAGTGACTATTCTAATTGTGGTCTAATTAGCAGAAAAGCAAGGGGGATGCTTGGAAAGCCACTGTTTCTCAGAAGGGAGGAATTTTATTGGCTTGATTTTTCCTTCTGTCCCAGCTCCTCCCTCCTCTGTTGTTTGGAGCCAAAAATAAAAAGAATTTAGGAAAAGAGAAGTGATTTAAGTTGCACGTTGGCACTTATTTCTGACCCCTGTAAGGTTATTTTAATCTGATCAAGGTGGATTTCCTCAGTGAGATCCATTAATAGAAATGGATGTAATTAATGGTTCACCATTAATTATTATTGAATTATTTTAAAATTATTAAATTATTAAATTATTATTAAAGAATTAACCAAAGAAAATTTCTGCTGCCCTAAATTATGCTAAATTTAGGAGTTTATTTGTATATTTTATTTGTATATATATATTTATAATGTATTGGGTGGTGCTTTTCAAACAAGTCCCATGTGATCAGCAGCCATCTCCTTGCAGATGGTTGATATTTCTATTTGGTGTAGTTTTTCTTTTTTTTACTACCAGTTAATTTTCTGCTCAAAGCCAGTTGGGTAAATCAGATGAAGTAACAGCCCAGGAGACATTAGAGATGATTAGGAAAAATAAAGTTCCTGATAAGAGTGAGACATTGACTGACTGAAAGTTATTTCTTCATTAAAATTTCAACAGGTGGCCAAGAAGATTAAAAGTGAAGTGGTTAAGCTACTGCTCAGCATGTAAAGTGGGCAAGTTAAAAACAAGACAAAGAAACAAATAAACAACCCCTTCAGATTATATTTGATCAAATAAAGAGAAAAAAAAAAAGCAGTTGAATGTCTGATGCTGAGTGAGTGAGATGCAGAGTGATTTTTTCACCACTCCAAATAGAGTGAATTAATTGCTAAAAAACTGAAATAAAAAATGGGGCTTTGGTGGTCTTATTGACCTGGGATTTTTCACACATGATCTCAGCAACTTAGAAATATCCTAGTAGTCAACAGGTCAAATAAAACAGTGGTTACTGGGGGGGGGGGGGGGGGGAAATGAGATGGAGATCACATTAAATCAAACTTGACTTTCATTCTGGTCAGAGAGCAGCTACATGATCAGACATTAATGTTTCATAGAGAAATTTGCTTAAAAGCATAGGAACTTGTGGAAGAGTAAGTAGAGCATCTGAACCTGAAGAGGCTGTAAAAATGTTAGAGTAAAAAAAATCTCTTAAAGTAAATTATTAAAAGCATATAGAAATTATAGAACAATGCAGTGGTTTAATATCTACTTTGTGCCACCATTGTCCTTTGAGTCTCAAACATTTTAAGATCCAACTGGACTCTGTTTCCAATGAGAATTTGGATTTATAGCTTGGGTGATCAGCCCAGGACACTCCCACTACTCCAAGGAGCTTCTCCCCATGGATTTCTTAAATACAAAAGATTTATTTTTTTTTTTTGAGAGTACTTGATATATCCTACAATGAAATTTAATATTACATTTTCATTTAAAATGGCAAAGAGTTGTGATCCTATCAAATCCTGCCACGGGAAACCTAATTTTTTAATATTAAAAACTACATAAAGTTAGAGGGAAGTCTTAAAAGCATTAATCCACGAGCCAAAATCACCATATCTTCCAAACTCTAATATTTTGGGAAGCTTGAGTTAGACAGTGGGTTGAAAAGTGGGTTTTTTGAGCAAAAGTATTGTGTGACATAAAGCAGAAATATTCCAACCTTGTCTTTTAAAGTCTGGAGGGTTCATGTTTAAAGAAATGCTTTGCTGTCAGCAGACAAACACCGAAATAATTGTTCTCTAGGGGATGAAAAACACCAGTTAAAATGCAGCCACACACCCAATTCTTCATTTTTAGAGCCCACTAAAAGTTTGATACCCCGAGGACTGACAGATTGATCAGGGAATGGGGAGGTCGAACAACAAACATTTCCTCATTTCTCTGTCTGCACCTTCTGAAACTGAGTTTTTAGATGATAATGATTCAGTGTTAGAAAACGTTGTGATTCACCCCAATTATACAAAATAACCTCCTGCTGAAAAGGTTGTGCTGGAGGAATGGGATGTGATGGAATGTGGCCAGTTCGTGCAGGGTCCCTGCCTGCAGCTGTTGGATTTTTAACCACAGGATATTCTGGGTTGGAAGGGACCCCCAAGGATCATCAAATCCAACTCTTTAGTGAGTGGCCCATCCAGGGGTTTGAAATCATGTTTGCTTTGAGGACTGCAAGGCTTCAACTGGTGTTGCAACCAGTGGGATGCTTTGTGCAATTCCACCTCGCACAGGAAGATTTAATGCTTTAAGACTAAAATTTCATTTCCTTTAAGACAAAAATGGTTGTTCACTAGTTCTTATCCTGTAAGGTATGCCATGGTCCTCACCACATTCCAAACTCCCAGCTAAGTTTTGAGCTGGACTGGCCGTGCCTGGGTTGGTGAGACCCTGCTGGGATCATCTTGGCTTGGCCACCTCACAGTCCTGCTCTCCTTCCTCATCATTTTTGGAACCTGATGGATCTACCTGGGAACTCTGCTGAAAGGAAAACCCAGTGCCACAAATCAGTCACCTTTTTTTTTGCAGTGAGACGTTGGACAAGACAACACACAGGGAAAATCACAGGAATCCCTGGAAACCCCACTCACTGGAGTTCTGGGATTGCTTGGTGTGGAGATTTTTGTTGTGATCATTGCAATGCTCGTGTCTGCACACTGATCTCCCTTCAGCTGCTCTCCACTGACAAGCTGGAATTATGTTGGTGAAATCCCAGTGGGAAAGATCAGTTGATTTATCTTCTGAAATGCTTTCAATCAGTGGCAGCCACATAATGACCTCAGTCCCAAACCTGCCTTTCCTTCTCCACCACTCTGGTCTGCAGCTGGTTTGGCCTGCAACAGGGATGGAGGGATAGAAACAGTTCTGTCTGGTCCAGCCAGTTGGGAATGGGGTGCTCCCAGTGCTCCCTCCCTCTTTGTACACATTCTGAAGGGAATTTGGGTGTTGGAAAACCCAGTGGGTCCTGAGGGCACCTCACTCCATGCAGGGGCATTTCTTGGAATGCTCCAGAGGTTCCTAATGAAGGGGAGTTCCAGCTTCAGGGAATGTGATGGGAAAGGAGGACCCTACAAGGCTGTGTGGGCATGGGTGGGAAGGGGTCAGCACTGGTGTTGGGGTGGAGGTGCTCCCCATCCTGATGGGGTGCCAATACCAAAAACAGGGCTGGAGAAGCATCACCTGCTGAATTATTGTGCAAAACCAGGCACATTCTGCACCATAAAGTGAGATGGCACCTCCAAAGCCTTCCCAGAATCCAAACCCTGCCCTCACCACAGCCCTGTCCAGGCTGTTTTGGTGACCAAATGGCTTCCTTAGCAAAGCTGAGGTTTCCAAAAGTATAATAGTATAATATAATAACTCAGCAAATCTGCAAGACCAGAGATGAGAGACACCTGGGAGCACTGGGCTGAAGGAGCCCTGGGGTGGCTGGGAGGGTCAGGGGGAGTGGGACACTCATTGGGCCCAGCTGGGAATTAGGGTGGGTTCAGGTTTAGGCTCAGAGTTAAGAGGGATGAGGAGGGGAAATTTGACTTTTGTTTTCATAGAATTATTTTGGCTGCAAAAGGGCTCCAAGATCCTCAAGTCCAGCTCTTCCCTCTGTTCTCTCTCCACTAAGCTATGTCCCCAATGCCACCTCTGCTTCTGGAGAAGACAGGGAAGGAGGTGTCCTTGGTTGTGCTGTTCACAAGGACTAAGGTAATACTTTATATGGGTTTTTTTCCTTTGTTTGTATCTGTATCAATGATCATTTGTCCCATTCTCTGTCACTTAGACCTTGGGTAAAAGCCTCAGCTCTGATAACGTTGTTTAACATTAGATGTTGTTCAAGGTGTTAAAAGCAAGCAGAACTTATGTTTTCAACAGCATTTTGGCACAAGTCTCTTCAGAAGAGCTGTTTGTTAGGTACTCTGGCTAATGAAGTGTCCTCTGATAATTCATTTGTCAGATTCAATTTATTGTTTCGTAGGGGAAAAAAAGGAATAATGTTGAAAGTCTGGCTTTGTTGTAAAATTCAGGGCGAGTGGGTTCAGGCAAAGCTAAGAACAGTAAAAATTGGTGTTGGGGGGTTCAGCCTGAACCTGCTGGGATTAATCAGTCTTGGCACTGGATTCAGTGGTGCGGGAGGTGGCCTGGGATATGTTGTAACTATTTGGGATATGGGAATATGAGACCCATTTCTCTTTGTGTGAGTTTGTTTTGGGATAATTCCGCTTTGGGACTTGACCTCTGTGTCTGCACAATAATTGATGGAGTTTCTTGTGTGGAGAAAAAAATTGTATTTACCTTCCTTTGTTTCAAACATGTTGGCAAATCAGATGCTCTGCAGGGAAATGACTTTTAGTGGAGGTGAGCATTAATGGGAGGGGTTTGCTCTGCACTAGGAGGCCTCAAGGACCTGGTTTTCTCTGTCCAGGTGCAAACACAAGGGAAAACTAAAAGATACCAGGCAGCTAAATGGTGGCTGAGGGTTTCTGGAGCTCATATCTTGGTGCTAAGATACTGATAATCTGTGAATTCTGATTTTCTTTCTGGAAAAAAAAAAATCCAAAATATAGCCAATGTAATGGAGTTGTGAGAGCTGGAAGTCAAGTAACTAAAGGTTCTCCCCTGTGCTCCCTGGTTTCAGGAATGTTAATTAGATGTTAACTGACATGGAATCTTATATTTTTCTATTTTCTGGTAATTCTCTCTGGAGATGTGCGTATTAATAAGCTTTGGGTTTTGGTTACTATGGCACTATTAATAATGCAGGTCTGTTTCTATGGTAGACACTGAGAATTTCTTGTGTGTAAAGATTGGTCAAAGAGGGGAAAAAAGACACTATATTTACTTGATAATGATGCACAGGAAGGTTTTGATTAGAAGCTTATTAAAGCTTTAAGGATAAATATTTTATTATATTCACCTTGTTGATTTGGGCTGGAAGCAACTGTGTCCAGTTTAGCTCAGGGCTGCTCCTCAGACTCATCCAGGATGTCATTCCAGGCCATATGAAAGATCTAATCCTTGTTGATACACAAGAAAAAAACATATTTTAACCAACTGTTGAAGACCAACCTGGTTGTTGGCAGGGTTTGTCAGAGATGGGATGGGTTGCAACCACACCTCTGCTCCCTTTGGAATACTGCAATTTTCTGCCAAAATAAAAAGCCAAGTGCTGGTTACTCTGCGTGACTTCAGGGAATTAAAATGTATTTATGCACATATCTCCATCGTTTTGATGGCCTCCAGGAGACTTGTTTTCCCTCATATTCCACTTCCCACCACTCTCCAGCAGTGCCATTGTTAGTGAGGTTGTGCTCAAAGTACAAACCCCGTGGTGGCCTCCGGTGTTTGGTTGTGTTTTGTCATTAAATTTCGAGAAAATAATTGTCAGAAATGTAGTTTTGGTTTGGTTTTTTTTTTCTCCCCTGCATGTGTTTATACCTCTGCTATCAGTTTTTAAAACCCCCAGTGCTTTGCCTGAAGGAGATGCTACAAGTCCTTCGTGAGCTGCTTTTATTTGTGGGGTCTCTGTGTGAGACGATGACTAAAGGTTTCCTTGGATGCTCGAATGTTGGAATCTGCAAGGAGGGAAGCCGGAATAAATCCGGGACTATTTCAGCGGGACGGGAGGCTTCTCCCTGCTCCCATCCATCACTAGATGGCACAATGAGTGTAGGAATGTGGGAAGGCTGAGCCCTGCCAGGCGCCGAGTTAATTCGTGGAGACGCAGAAGTAAGTGAGCAATGACAGGCAGTTCAGTCGGAGAAAAGCCGGGTGAAGGGGACAAAAGCTGAGCAGACAATTAACTCTGAGGAGCCGCGTGTGGCACATGCTGAGTGCACAGATGACAGACGTCAGCCCACAGCCCTCAGCTGGGTACATGGCACAGGGAGCAGGGAATGTTTGCTGTTAAAACTTGGAAAAAATCTGATTTTTTCCCCCTTTTTTTTATATATTGCTTATTTTTAGTGTAGATGCTCCAGGTACACAGCTATCAAACGGCAGCAAAATCCAATTATCGTTCAGTGCTTGTGATCAAATGTGCTCCTTAAAGCACAGCAAAGAGGCAGCACTGGAACTTGATATTTTTATATGATATATTAAGAATTTAAGCTTTTAAGCAGACACAAAACTAGTGCTTGGGGAATTTCAACTGGCAGCAGCCAAGCTCCTGCTCTGTGCTCCTGGTGCCAACACAAACTGCTCTGTCTCGTGACAAAGGGAGTTGCTGCTTGTTCAATCCTTGAAAAAAAATCCTACTGCAGTTTTGGGTCCTTAAACTCCACCTGATGGTTTTCCTGACTCTTTTGAGGTGTTTCATCTCCTGTATGCCCAGGTTTTGCCATCCATGGGAGCAGTGCTGGGGATGACTCCCATGGGGCAGCCCTGTCTCTGGAAGCAGAGTTAACTTGTGCTCAGTGCTTCTGGAGCAGGTGGTGTTTTCTGTCCCTGGGAAGAAAAAAAGAGAAAAGGGGAGAAAATTAAACCCAGACTCAAACAAATTAATCCTTTGCCATGCCTGACCCTCACTCATTCACAGAAAGTGCAATCATGGAATAACAGAATGGTTTGGGTTGGAAGGGACCTTAAAGCTCCTCCAGTCTCACCCCCTGCCATGGGCAGGGACACCTTCCACTGTTCCAGGTTGCTCCAGCCTGGCCTTGGACACTTCCAGGGATCCAGAGGCAGCCACAGCTTCTCTGGGCAATCCGTGCCAGGGCCTCCCCACCCTCCCAGGGAAGGATTCCTTCCTGACATCTGCTCAGTTTGAAGCTATCCCCCCTTGTCCTATCCCATCTCCTTCTCAATATTCTATTTACTGCCAAACATGGTGTAATTATGCTGAGATCTCCTGCAGGGTATAACTGTGAGAGCAGTGGGAACTTCAGCCAGCTGGGACCTCTCTGTCCAAGTCTGGTACATCAAGGCTGCCAGAGAGGGATCTCCAGCTGCTTTAGAGTTACCCACGACATTCTCCCCACCTGTATTTGAAGTGTTGCACCCTCACTGACACCACTTGTTGTGTTCTGGATCTAAACCCCTCTGGGAGCACTGGGTGGCCCCTGACTGGGTGCTGTGGTGGGGCAGCCAAGGAGATCTTGGCTCATTCTCTTCAAGAGGAGCGAGTTGGGTGATAAAAGAAGTTTTGATCTGTGCCCTGGTGAGTGTTGCTCCTCTGCTGAAGAGTCCTCAGCAGAGCTGAGGAGATTGATTTGTGATACTCAAGTCTCTTCAGCCTAAAGGCTATAAAGGAGTTGGTATGTTATTCCAAGGAATGTGACAATGTTTTGTCAAATGCCTGCAATCCCTCTAACGTGACTCAAAGGCACAGATAAATCTCTGATGGAGGCCTTATTTCACAGATATTTTATATCTTCCCTCCACTGGAGACATTTCAGGCAACTTAATGACAATCCCAAACTTCAATATCATGGGAAGATCAACGGGCTACTGAAGACTTTTTTGAGTTTTGGCTGTTTCTGTGCATAATTGTTGTGAAAACAGCATGATCCATTCTATTTCTGATGCCTCTAAGAGCTCCAAAAAGGGTTATTATATGTATTGTCTGCATTGTGGGCAGCTGGATCAACAAAATCTTTGTAAAATATGGCCACAGTATCTGTGGGAATTCAGTGGTTTTATCACCCTTTGAAGAAAACCACAGCACTGGAGTTAATGAAGGAACAAGCAAAGCCCCAGATTAGCTTAAATGCAACAAAATCCAGATTGATATCTCAAGAGCTAAAATCAAAGCTATTTGTATAAACATGGTGCTCCTCCGAAGCGTGACTGCTTTTAAGAGAGTTAGTTAATCAAAAATCCCTAGAAAACAGGGGAGCACAGCTTTGGTAGGAGGGCAAAGTGATAAGAAAATGCCAGGAAACTGGTTTTTTGGAGAGTGCTGAAAGAAATTCTTCCGATTACATCACATTTCAGAGGAACAACCAGTTTGTGCAGGAGGAGTTTGAGACCTGGGAAGTTGTTGTGGTGAACTGGATAAGATGTTGAGATGGAGATTGGCCTCTTTGCTTTCATTTTTGAGCTGGTTCTTCTGTCACAGTACATTTATATGTTCATAAATTGGAATTCTGCCTCTCTGCCAGGGATCTCCTCCATTGGGTCAGGACCCAAGGAGAAAAACCTTAGACCATTAAGGAAATCTTGCCTGTTTAATGAAACGCTTAATTTTAAACAAGTGGTCAAGATCTCTTCTTATCCGGTAAGGTTTTTTTAATATTAAAAATAATAAAGCATGTTTGTTGGCCCAGCAACTCCTTCCTCTTGTACCAGCACTGCTGACCTGCAGCAGCCAGGAGAGCGTTCCTTAAATTAGAGACTTTTATTATATTCCTGATGACTCCAAAGTCCTGCCCAACTGTGTGCACTGGAAAACTTGAGCTGCAATCAATCACTTTATTACTTTAATGATTTTTTTTTTTAAATGCTAACATCTAATGTGGTTATCAAGCTCCTGCTTCCTCTGGTTATGGAACCTCTCAAGTGAGGTCAGGCATGTTTGTTTAATCAGGGGTTTTATAACTGGTCATTGGTGTGACAATCTGGAGCCTGGTTTATGTGTTAACCAGTTATTTTTTGGTTGGCTCTCAGCTCATAAAGTGCTCAAATCAGAACTGTTTTACTTTCAGGTTCGTAATCCTGGGGGATTTTGGAGGGGGATAGGGAGGAGAAGGAAATAATGACAAAG